TTGGTGGGGTGGGGGGGGTTGCTGCATAATTATTTGCGTTGGGTCAGAGAGTAGAGATGTGTAGTTCCGGCCTTTAAAGGAACTAACAAAGATGCATTTTAAAATGAAATTGACTCACATTCAAAATGTGCTTACAAATATTGAATTCTTTAAACCAAGAATCAATTCTCTTACTTAAACATTTACTCTTATTCGTGATTGGTGTAAAACAAGTCATTTACATCCTTCATGGCTCATGGAGCACTTTCAAGAATGAGTTTTTACGGGGGGTGGGGGGTGGGGCCTCCAATGCTAACCCTATATTTAACAAGTCGGTAGTGCTTCGGAGCTTCCTTGAGCGGCCACTGGTTGGACCCTGAGACCTGCACACACTGGGAGCCATTGTTGCATGCAGCACACACATATCTGAGAAAATATCCGTCCACCAAGTGGCTCCCCCAAGTAGCGAGTCGGACATGCTCCCACCCTCCCCTATCTTTAAATGGCTCAACCCCAGTAGGTCAAAACCGCGAATTAAAATATGATCCCTGCTGTACACCTCTGCAAATAAGAAGAACAATTGTACTCATCTCAACCTTTGTGTCATCCAAATGAAATGACTTTCTGGCTTTCATGAAACAACTGATCGGTGCATTAGGGTCTGATAGCAACGTTGTTCTGAAAGCTTTCAAGAGTTTGATCTTTAATGTGTCCTAAACTGACACGAGTTACTCAAATTAAATTTACAAGGTACTCGTTATTGTTTAACTTCGCCTTCACACCGCAGATTTATTTCACCAACTAAATCAGAAAAACAAAGGAAAATATTACGCACCAAATGCACTTGCGATATTAGTTTTTTTTAAAAAGAATCTCATTTAGCGCATTTATCGGGAATTTTATTTCGTGAAATCACAAATCTTTCAACTTCCCATTGAGAAACAGGTAAAACGGCATTTTGGGGCTGCAAATTTGAAAAAAAAAATGTTGTTATTGGTAATGAGCCTACGTGCAAAGTTTCAGCTCGACACCTGGACGGGAAGTGGGTCACTTAGCCGTCTGAAGATTTAGCCAGCCAGTAACAAAAAAAACAAAAACAAACCAAAACAAAGGAAAGTAAATCTGAAGTATTTTAAAATTGTAAAATTACTCATGAAATATTCAGCCCGCGATTATTTTGTCGTTTAAAATGTAAAGAAAAAAAATACTTAGACGCAACTAAGTAAAATTAAGTAAATGAACGAAAGCTGAAAGTCCCCCATGAAATTAATTATTCTTATTTGTGTATCACGCCCGTCGAAGGATAGCTTGAGACCCATTAAGCATGAGAAATGTTTCGGAAAAAAAAGTAAGGTTTTATCAAATACTAAAAAAAAAAAATTCTTTAAATAACAGTCACTCAAGATTTCCTACATCGAGACTTAAACCAACCCCTCCCGCCCCCCCCCCCCCCCCAGAAAAAAAATAAAGTTTTATAAAAAAATAAAAAAAAAAAAAATTCTTTAAAAAACCCTCACCCAAAATTTCCCACACCGAGACCTAAACCAACCCCCCCCCCCCCCCCCCCCCCCCCAACCTTCTTGGTATAGCAGCTATTAAATTGTTAGAAGATGAGGATATGATTAGAACAGTCTAATCAGATAAAAACAAAATACACATTCAAAATGATTTTTTTTTTAATATGTGACAAAAACAAATAACAAATAAAAACAGAAATTCGTTTTTTTTTCGATTGATTTTTGATGTTTGTTAAAAATAAAACGATTCAATCAGTTAATGACATTGAATAAAATCTAAACAACTTCAATAGATTAAAATCCCAATCTGAACATGAAGATTTATTTTCTTGGACAAATGCAAAAACACAATCTTCCACTACATAACTGAACAGAGAATATAACACTAAGTAAGCCCCCCCCTCCTCCCCTACCCCTTCCCCCCAACCGGCATCCAAGCCCTTGATTTCAACTTTGTAAACCTTTGATATCAACTTTTAAAGTCGAGCCTAAGATCCTCCTAACCTTGATGTCACATCAGTTATTGAACAAAATCAAATCCACTGATTAGAAAAGCGACACCCTTTTCATCTCTAGCCACGATGACAACAAATGAAAATGTTTGACTGGTTTGTTGGAGAAAAAAAAAGGGAGAAAAAAAGGGGGGGGGGCGTATTTCTCGTGTACTTAACAGATTTAATTTTATGTCACTTCAAGAAAATCCCATGTCACTTCAAGACCATCCCATGTCACCGAATCTTTGAAGCACCACCAAATCTGTGCAGTTAGCTCCCTGCTTTTATTAAAATCTGCAGCTTAGACAGTTATGGAACGTTCAGCAAAATGTTGTCTCTTAAAAAACAAAAAACAAAAAAAATTTAAAAAATACATATTTTCCAATCGAAGAGCTTCCCAATGGATCTCAAATTAGCTAAAATGTCCTCTTTCGTAAGATATGTTTAGCTTGTAGTACTCTAGTTGTTTGACGGAGTAGCCGCATGACTTTTGGAGGCTTCATACTCTCTGTTTTGTCTTTTCTTCCTTGCACTCAAAGTTGATTTTTCAAATTATTTCTAAATCACACGTTTAGGCCCCTTAAATATCCAAGAATACCCTGGGGCCGTATCGACTGCTGGAACCGCATTGAATGTTGGGACCGCATTGGCTGCTAGGGCCACATTCACTGCTGGGCCGCATTCCCTGCTGGGGCAAAATTAACTGCTGGGTCCGCATTGACTGCTGGGTCCGCATTGACTGCTGGATCCATATTGACTGTTGGAGTCCTATTGACTGCTGGTCCGCATTTATTAACTGCCTATTGTTTATCTAAAGACAACAAAATGTTGACAAAACACCAGGAAATTTGTGTTCAAAATTGTTTAAATAAAAAGTGTTCATAAAAATATGTTTGGCCTCAAAAACTGAGATTTTTTAAAAAGTATTTGTAAATAATTTTAGAAATTTTATTAAATTCTCAAAACTGGAAGGAATTTAATGATACATTAAAAAAAAATCTTTTCATTAAATGCATGTTGTATTTTATTAGTGAGCGGCTGTTTCTACATATTGTTATTTTAGTTCAGTTCAGAGATCAGAAGATGAAAACAACAACAACAACAACAAAAAAAAACAACAACAACAACATCGTCTTGAAATAGAATTGAGGATCCCCGAGCATTCAACTTGTCACAAATGTCACATTTACTTTTCAAGTTATCATAAATGTCACTAGTTTTATTTTGGTATCGTTTGATGTCATGACATGATTAGGTTCAGTGGGATATAAATGATACGTATAGTTTAACAGGTGAGGGAATTAAATTCTGTTTTGAAGAGTTCATCAAGCCAAGATAATACTGCCACAGCTTACCAGCCATGGACCTTCACTATTGGGTAAGCTGACAGAAGGTGTGTTCTTGATGTGTGTTCATTGTGTGTGCAGTTGTGTAATTTTAAAATCCGAAAATGGTGATTATATGATTGTAATGATACTTTCGTGTAAGGCAGGGGGTCTCAAACTCGCGGCCAATGGGCCGTTTTTGGCCCGCCACATGACAGCAAAGTTTAGTGTAATGCAGCCCGCGAGTTTTCCCCATCCTCATATCTATAATGTGACCCTCCGCGACGGTTTCAGTCTAATCTCACCGACTAGTCTAATTCTGATGTTCTATTATGTTTGCGTAGATTAGGACGTTGATTATAATGGTAAAAATCCGTTTTAAAACCGGAATAAAAGATTTGATTTCATATCATTTCATGAGACAAACAATGTGGGCAAAGTGCGGTTTTGAGAAAAGTTTAAAAATTCAGTTAGTGGGTTAGGCACAACCACCACTGTGTGAACCGTAGCAATCTGACACAGTATCAAAGAATTCCTATTAAAATTACCTCTACTGTTAACGAGTTAGGGAAATTTTCAAGCATGTCAGCTTGGTTCCATTTCAATATCGGGCAAGTCAAAAAGGCCTTTTCTACTATAAAAAAATAAAATAAAAATTCATTCTCCGTACAATAGCAACTTCCTTTGTATCAATAATTCATAAACATTGCCTCCTCCTGCCTACTGTCTGTACACATTTTAGGATTTTAAATCTTCACAAAGAAGGATTGGGGGAGGGAGGTTCTGAACTAAGTGATCCCCAATGGCTCATGGACTTTGCTTTTCTTGTTGACATTACCCAGGAGATGAATGTACAAAATAATAAGTTAGAAGACCAGGGGAAGCTTGACAATGTCAGGGCATTCGGGACAAAATCTGTGTTATGGTTCTTAGAGAAACCTCTGCCATTTCCCAACATGAAAAGTACTCATGGATTCGGGAACACCATTCAGTAGTGAGTATAATGATGCCATTGCAAAGCTACAGGAAGAATTTGATCACATGTTTTTAGACTTTAAAACACAAAGAGACACTTGTCAATCTGCTGCTGATCCTTTCTTCTAAAATGTGGAAGATGCGCCCCACCCCACCCCAACTTGCACTTCAAATGGAGCTGATTGATCTTCAGTGGAATTTTAAGTTCAGGGAGTAAAAGGAAGAACAGACAAGCATAAACAATTCATGAGAACATTGCTCTACACCTTCACTGAGATTTCCAGGCTGCTCAAGCGGATCATGTACCTTTTTGGGAGCACCTATCTGTGTGAAAAGCTCTTTTTCCAATATGAAATTTAACAAGTCAAAGTTCAGTGTCAAACTTACTGATGAGCATCTTCAAGCTTTACCGAGGGTATCAGTTGCTTCCTCGCTCAAGGCAAATGTTGCTCACCTGTGCAAGAAGAAGCGCTGCCAGGTCTCTTGCAACAATAAGTAGGAGGAAGAAAATGACGCCTAGTTTTTGAGAACCCATAATTTTTTTATTTGTTATTAATAAAGTTTTAGCAGATAGTACCAGTTGTACTTTATTGAATTTGTAATCGATTTTTTTTTACTTGATGCGGCCCAGTCTCACTCAGACTCTACCTCCTGCGGCCCCCGGATGATTTGAGTTTGAGACCCCTGGTGTAAAGAGACACACATGAAATGACTTAATTGGCTGAACTAGCTGTTATACGAGGTGACCGAAATGTCAGTTATACAACGCGATCGAAATGGCAGTTACACAACTTGACTTATATGACAGTTACACAACTTGACTGATATGACAGTTACACAACGTTACCAGAATGTCAGTTACACAACGTGACCAAAATTTCAGTTACATAGTGTGAACAGAATGTCATTTACACAACGTGACCAAAATGTCAGTTACACAACGTGACCATAATTTCAGTTATACAACGTGACCAAAATGTTAGTTACACAACGTGACCATAATGTCAGTTACACAACGTGACCAAAATGTCTGTTACACCACCGACCAAAGCCACGAGTCATCAAAATTTGACAATTTTATGGGATATGCCGAAATGCAGGTGAGTACATTCGAATCTAGCAGGATTCTGTGAACATCATCTTGTATAGGGCACTCGAGTCCTGACTACAGACATAAGACATTCGCTAAGCCAGGTTCCGGTAAGTGGTGAAACAAGACATTTACTCGGCCAGGTTTTGGTAAGACATTTACCTTAATCTGGGAAAGGCTCTCAAACCATTAATTCTTTGACTTGACAGGTTTTTTTTTTTATTGCGCCGACAAAAACATCATGACTTGAAGAGATATGACAGGACGTGACAACCCGAGTTTTACAAGACTATATATTTGTAAAACTTAACACTGGAAAGCAAAATCTGCGCTCTGGTGAGATCTTAAATTTTTGCGCCCTTAAAGTATATCTATTTCGTTTGAAAAAAAAATAACGACTTGGGCTCGCTACGAGGATGGCACCCGGGGGGCGGATGCCTACTTCGCCACCCTCTGCCCCCCACTTTGTACGCCAATTTGTGTAAAGTTGATATTAGGGTTTCTCATTTCCCGGGGGTTGGCTTATTTCCAATCAGGTTCTTGTCATTGGGTTCACCCTAGTCGCGGCAGATGACTGCTTGACACCAACACCTTTTGAAGTCATAGACGACCCAGGCATTCAATTCCCAGACGGGTGAGTAATAATAAGGCATTCCTTCCATGTTCTTCCCTAATTACATGTTGACATCAGTGCTGTCTAATCTTTGGACTCTGGGAGCCAAATTTTGTGTGTGGGGGGTGGGGGTGGGGGTAGGGTTGGGGTTAGGTGTTGGGTTGGGGTTAGGGGTAGGGTTGGGATTAGTTGTAGTGTTGGTGTTAGGGGTATGGTTGGGGTTATGGGTTACGGGTATGGTTGAGGTTAGGGGTACGGTTTGGGTTAAAGGTGTGGTTGGGGTTAGGGGTAGGNACAAACATCGCCGGCGAAGCTGGATTCTCAGTAATGACAAACATCAAGTCCAAGAAAACTAGACAAAAAAAAAAAAACAACTAGAAAAACAAAACAACTTAGTGTTTTTGAATCTAAGCTGGAATTGTTCATTACTGAAATGAATCTGTTAAATTTTGCTCACTTCCCAGCCCTTGAAAAGGCTTGAAAACCACTTCCAGAGCTGGTCCCAATAGAGCGATGCAATCTATTTGTTAAAAAAGTTGAAGTTAGATTCCTCAGATCGTTTTAAAGATCTTCGGAGTCTCACTCCTGTTTTACTTTTTGTTGAAAATACCTTCAAGTGTGATATCTCCGTGGTATCCAGAATGATAACAATATTAGGAGCAGATGAAGGTGCGGTGCAGCTTGAAATCATCAAAATTAAGCATAAAATAACTCTTCTTGGAAGACATAAGAATGCGTCGCCAACTGAATTCTGGATGACGTCATGTTTCTTCAGATGAATTTCCACAACTATTGAATTTTTTTTTCAAAACACGAAGCGGCTGCTCAACGTTATCCCCGGACATTCGTTCAACACGTCTTGCTACAGTCTGGTGAGAAATCAGAAAATTTGATCTTTGCTTTTAAAAAAAAAAAAAAATTCTGTTTTGTTTTTTTTAAGCTCAGCAAATAATGAATCTGCTCATGCCTGAAAACAAAGATGGAAAATTTCCCCATATGAAGATGGTTTTTGCTTCTTGGCTCATATCAAGCTAATATGAAAAGATGCGTCAATGGCACAGTCGCTTGAGCCAAAAAACGACCAAAAAAAAAAAAAAAGACAACATTTCCCCTCCCGTTGAGATCTTCTTTTTTTTTTTTAAACGAGACATCACTCTGTCGTCTATTAAGTTTGCTCTGATGGGAGACACTTTCTCAAAACCTGCATGCCCTGACTTGTGGTGCCACTGGAGATTAGCCTTTTCCATAACAGAAAGAGAAGTCTGGCATATCAAACACACTGGCTTTTCATTAAATAATGAAATTTTAAAAAAAAATCCATTTCCGATGAAGCGTTAAAAGTACGTTCTCTTCTGTACTTTTAGACGAAATCAGAGTACAACCATGCATTTAACATAAGCATGTCGTGATTCTCTTCTGTAACATTTCCTTTTTTACTTGCCATTTTGGCTTGATCTTTTTAGAAATAAAATAATGAATGCTTTCAAGAATCGTTCGTGCTGTCTCTAAGAATTTCCCCATGACTGAATTGCATTAACAACAAACACCGCTTTTATCCAGCATTCTACTCCTGGAATTGATCACACTCCGATCACTGAATATAGGCCTACCAGGTTGTACTCTGATTTCGTCTAAAAATACAGGATGGACATACTGCCCCCCCCCGCCCCCCCCACCCCCCCCCCACCCCGCCCCCCCCNNCACCCCGCCCCCCCACCCCCCCACCTAAACAGACTTTTTACTACGTTTCAACAGGCTCACATTCCGTTCCCGACACCTTTATTGCCCAGTTCTCATCTTGCTAAATCCTGTCTTTTTGATTAGTACGCTCTAAAGCTGATCTGCTGACGCGCTTAACATAACACACTGCCACCTGTCACGCATGTCTCTCCTTTCACCACAACCCTTCTTTTTTTTCGAATGCTACCACTTCTCCTGTACTGTCACGTGATCTCCCCAAAAATACCGAATCACTGAAGTTCATTTGATTTTTTTAACCATTTAAATTTAAAATGTTTTTTTTTTTTACACACTGGTAAAATATCTCAAGCTCTGGCGGGCCATTTAAAACCAGACTGCGGGCCGGCCGCATACTGCCCGCGGGTTAGACAGCACTGTTTTAGATGATGTTGCATGCATTTAACATAAGCATGTCGTGATTCTATCCTGAACAACATGTCATGATGATACTCTGTACAATATGTTTGGAGACTATTCTGTAAAACAATTGATCATACATAACACTGTTTGCCTATTTATTTAGAATAAAGATTAAAGTTGTTCGATTTTTTTTCCAAATTCTATTTTAAAAACAAAATTACATTTTCTTGAAAAAATTAACAAGACTATTATATCGGGGAAGATTCGGTCTGACAGGACATAGCCACTGAGTGGCGCGACGTTGACTGGACATAGCTACTGAGTGGCGCGACGTTGACTGGACATAGCTTCTGAGTGGCGTGACGTTGACTGGACATAGCTACTGAGTGGCGCGACGTTGACAGGACATAGCTACTGAGTGGCGCGACGTTGACAGGACATAGCTACTGAGTGGCGCGACGTTGACAGGACATAGCTACTGAGTGGCGCGACGTTGACAGGACATAGCTACTGAGTGGCGCGACGTTTGGGAAGACCTTCCAAAAAATGGAACCCAACAAAACAGCGAACCCATCACCAAAGAAACATCAGATAAAAACAGAATCAAATCAAAATACCCCGAAACTGAAACGTTGTACCCTGAGTACAACAAAGTAACTGTAACTGCTCCAAGTCATTTTTGTTTTTACTTATTTCGTTGGTGTAGAAAGTCTTTCGAAAGAAAAGTCTGTTTCATGGTGTTTTTTTTTTCTTGGGGGATTAAGAGTTCAAACGAAAAGTCTGTACCATTGTCCCCAGAGGAAGACATTCACGCTATTTACACATGATTTGTTTCCAAGACGTCAATAACATTCCTCTCATTTACATATTAGGGCAGGTGGCATTTTCTTCTTCTAGTTGAAACTGCAAGATAGTTTAGCTAGTAAAACAGTCACAGCGTGTTAGGGTCAGCATGATTTCGGCTATTTAAGTTTAGTTGATTAATATTTCTTTCTTTAAAAAAAAAATTCAAACAGCCCAATAGAATGTCCCAAAGCCAACGGAAAGTATGTCCGCATCGATTCGCCCGATTACTGTGTCAAAAACGAGATTACGCCTTTCACGTAAGTACCACCTTACGGTAACTCTTGCACTAAATTACTACGATAACTTCATCTTTATGCTTAGTTGCTTCGCTGGAGTTTATTTATTTTTTTTAGTTTACGCTGGGAAATCCAAGTGCAGCATTTCAATTAGTCAAAACTCGCGCATTTTCCCGTTACTAATCATGAAATATTGATCCCAACAACTTGGTTTATGATGCTAAACAAATAGGGTTTAAATTATAAGTTTAACTTGCTCTAAACTCGCTAGTTATTTTTTGTTTTGTTTTGTTGGACTACACATCTTTATCAAATGTCAATACTCCCTAACTAACCTCTATGCAATGTCAATACTCCCTAACTAACCTCTATGCAATGTCAATACTCCCTAACTAACCTCTATGCAATTTCAATACTCCCTAACTAACCTCTATGCAATGTCAATACTCCCTAACTAACCTCTATGCAATTTCAATACTCCCTAACTAACCTCTATGCAATGTCAATACTCCGTAACTAACTTCTATGAAATGTCAATACTCCCTAACTAACCTCTATGCAATGTCAATACTCCCTAACTAACCTCTATGCAATGTCAATACTCCCTAACTAACCTCTATGCAATGTCAATACTCCCTAACTAACCTCTATGCAATGTCAATACTCCCTAACTAACCTCTATGCAATGTCAATACTCCCTAACTAACCTCTATGCAATGTCAATACTCCCTAACTAACTTCTATGCAATGTCAATACTCCCTAACTAACCTCTATGCAATGTCAATACTCCCTAACTAACCTCTATGAAATGTCAATACTCCGTAACTAACTTCTATGAAATGTCAATACTCCCTAACTAACCTCTATGCAATGTCAATACTCCGTAACTAACTTCTATGAAATGTCAATACTCCCTAACTAACCTCTATGAAATGTCAATACTCCCTAACTAACTTCTATGAAATGTCAATACTCCCTAACTAACCTCTATGCAATGTCAATACTCCGTAACTAACTTCTATGAAATGTCAATACTCCCTAACTAACTTCTATGAAATGTCAATACTCCCTAACTAACTTCTATGAAATGTCAATACTCCCTAACTAACCTCTATGCAATGTCAATACTCCCTAACTAACTTCTATGAAATGTCAATACTCCCTAACTAACCTCTATGCAATGTCAATACTCCCTAACTAACTTCTATGAAATGTCAATACTCCCTAACTAACCTCTATGAAATGTCAATACTCCCTAACTAACCTCTATGCAATGTCAATACTCCCTAACTAACCTCTATGAAATGTCAATACTCCCTAACTAACCTCTATGAAATGTCAATACTCCCTAACTAACTTCTATGAAATGTCAATACTCCCTAACTAACCTCTATGAAATGTCAATACTCCCTAACTAACTTCTATGAAATGTCAATACTCCCTAACTAACCTCTATGCAATGTCAATACTCCCTAACTAACCTCTATGCAATGTCAATACTCCCTAACTAACCTCTATGAAATGTCAATACTCCCTAACTAACCTCTATGAAATGTCAATACTCCCTAACTAACCTCTATGAAATGTCAATACTCCCTAACTAACCTCTATGAAATGTCAATACTCCCTAACTAACCTCTATGAAATGTCAATACTCCATAACTAACCTCTATGAAATGTCAATACTCCCTAACTAACCTCTATGAAATGTCAATACTCCCTAACTAACCTCTATGAAATGTCAATACTTGCTAACTAACCTCTATGAAATGTTAATACTTGCTAACTAACCTCTATGCAATGTCAATACTCCCTAATTAACCTCTATGAAATCTCAATACTTGCTAACTAACCTCTATGAAATGTCAATACGTGCTAACAAAACTCTATAAAATGTCAATACGTGCTAATTAACCTTTATTAAATGTCGATACTTTCGAACTCACCTCTATGACACGTCAATACTCTCGACCTCACCTCTATGACACGTCAATACTCTCGACCTCACCTCTATGACACGTCAATACTCTCGACCTCACCTCTATGACACGTCAATACTCTCGACCTCACCTCTATGACACGTCAATACTCTCGACCTCACCTCTATGACACGTCAATACTATCGACCTCACCTCTGTGACACGTCAATACTCTCGACCTCACCTCTATGACACGTCAATACTCTCGACCTCACCTCTATGACACGTCAATACTCTCGACCTCACCTCTATGCAGTGGCATAGGTAGAGGGATGCGGACCGCACCGGGTGACACCATCTCCAACAGATGACAGCAAATTGAATTCTGATTCTAAGGACAAAAAAAATATATCCGTTGATACTAATGGACGATTCTAAGTACCTGGCCACAGTTCTTGTACAGATTGACCGCTTGACCTTCAATGAATTTCTTTTGTTCTTGCCATTGTTACACGTTGGACTTATTTAAAAAAGAAGAAATCTGCCATGGGAGTCGAGGGCAGGTGGGTGACAACACGAGTTTACCGCACCGAATGGCACCAACCCCTAGCTGCGTCACTTTCTCTATGACTTGTCAATCCTCTCTCACCTCTATAAAACGGCATTTATCTTGACATATACTTTCTTATTGAAATGTATGTGTTTAAAAAAAATTATAAAAGTAAATAGCTTCTCAGTCCATTAATCTAAAATAATTTTATTCGCGTTACCCTAATCTTGAGTGCTAGGTTTATCTCTTAGTTATCCACACCATTTGAAAAAAAAAAAATTCTTTATCAATGACCCTCCTTTCCTACAGAGATTGCTGTGCTAAACGGAAGGGCTACGAATGCACGTGGGATAAAATCCAGTGTCCAGGCGTATTCTGGTATAACAATTTGTATTGTAAACTGATTAGAAGACCAATCAAGCTACCGAAATACGCCAATTGCTCGTAAGTAAAGTAATTGAGCTGGTTTTTTGTTTTGTTTTTGCATCGATCTTTTTGCCCGCTGATTTGATAGACATGACCGTTTCACTATCACGTGACCGGAAGTCTCACCTAAAATGTAATACACACAATGAGATCTAATGCGTCTCTAGTTACTTGGGGGTGGGTGTGTGAAGGTTTAATTTTTGGTTACGAGTTACGAGGTTTCTCACCACAATAAAGTCTCTTAGATTAAAGTTAACCAAGAACATCTAGTTTACAATATAACCTGATGCTTAAGAAGTTCGTCCTAGCATTTCGAAAACGAAAAATCCTTTCAGTTTTAATATCGTTCCATTGAAATGTCCAGAAGTTCATCTTACCGACTGTAGTACATTTGTTAATTAAGTATGGCGAGAAGGACAGATGAATCCTGTTAAAAATTTAAATCACTGATCATGTCACTCATTTGATTCTGCTCAAAATATTCACTCTGTGAATATGTTTGAGACCCCTTTTTATTGCCCCCCCCCCCCCATTTCTTTACCATATGCGATGTAAGAAATGCAAGGCTCGTCATCATCACAAATAAGGAACAGACACAAAATCACATGTCTCCTTGCTGAAGATATGTCAGGGTAAGACCAATAGTCACAATAAATAATTATTTGGTTTGAATTCAATTACATTAACAAGACTAAAATGACAGTCAGTGACATGGTTCTTGGTTCCCTCCATTTTACTGTGGCTCAGATTTACTGGAAGTTTATCTTCTATTCGTCAACCAGAGAAAACCTTTTTGCATACAATATGAATACAACTGCACACTTTGACCTCAAGCTTGTCACTAAATAGCTTACAGGTGTACTATTAGCCCAACTCGGAAATACGTGTTCTGCAAGTTTGAAATACTATCTATTCTCCAATGTCTTTAAAAAGACCAGACTGAGAAGCTTTAGAAATAACAATTGACCAAGTCTAAGAAAATCGTGATTGACCACCTAAATATGTTCACATAATTAGTTCATGAATCAAAATGACTTTAATTTTGTCCATCACCTTGTCCACAATTTTAAGCTAGGTCATAGGATAGAAAGGAAGGGGTTAAAAACTGTTTATACACACACACAGTGTGGGTAATTTAAACACTTACATTGCCGATTTTTATTTAAAAAAAACCACTTTTTTCTGACAGTTAGATCCCATTTAGAGAGGACCAAACATTTTTATAAATTCAACCATGGCTTCAAAGGTAGAGGTGGTGCGGAAACATCTGATGCGATTTTAGGAATCATCGCTAAATATGACATAATTTATTCGAAGCATACATAAGGAAAATGATATATTTATTGTCGGCCCTTGTCAGTTGTAAAAACTTTACATCTCTAAAAATTTAAGGCATCAGCTATCTCTACTAGGTGAATAAATCAACTATATCTAATACGTGAATAAATCAGCTATCCGTAATAAGTGAATAAATCATTTATCTCTAATAGGTGAATAAATCAGTTATCTCTAATAGGTGAATAAATCCATTATCTCTACTAGGTGAATAAATCAACTATATCTAATACGTGAATAAATCAGCTATCCGTAATACGTGAATAAATCATTTATCTCTAATAGGTGAATAAATCAGTTATCTCTACTAGGTGAATAAATCAACTATATCTAATACGTGAATAAATCAGCTATCCGTAATACGTGAATAAATCATTTATCTCTAATAGGTGAATAAATCAGTTATCTCTAATAGGTGAATAAATCAGTTATCTCTAATAGGTGAATAAATCAAATGTCTCTAATAGGTGAATAAATCAGCTATCCGTAATAAGTGAATACATCATTTATCTCTAATAGATGAATAAATCAGATATCTCTAATAGGTGAATAAATCAGTTATCTCTAATAGGTGAATAAATCGGCTACCTCTAATAGGTGACTAAATCAGCTATCCCTCATGGTTTAATAAACCCGCCATCCCTAACAGCTGTATCAATAATGTATCCATCATAGTTGCTTCCAATGCGTCACGTCCTATGATTCTACTGGTCTGAAGTACTGCCCCTTGCTTTTCGGGAAATGTGGCCCAACGGCCCTGCAGAACATCCCAGTCAGCATGGTTTGCGTAGACCCGAAAACTTTAGAATCCAGGTGTTTCTCAGCATCTTTCTGCCTCCCACAAAGGTGAGTTCTTTAAAAACACAAAACTGACCTGTTTACAAAGGAGACGTCCATGTTTAGAGGGTTTGTCCAAATTAGAGGACCCATTCTAAAAGAATCCAAAAATATTTTATCGGGCTATAAGGTAGTTGTATTCACATTGGCCTTAGCTTAACTGACCCAGACAGCCAAGAATTCATATTGTCATCGGCTTAACTGACCCAGACAGCCAGGAATTCGTGTTGTCATCGGCTTAACTGACCCAGACAGCCAGGAATTCGTGTTGTCATTAGCTCAATTCAAGGGTTGCCAAATTTTCTCTCACGGCGGCGGGCCGGATACCGGACAAAATGTCAAGAGCGGGCCGTATCACCATTCTGTACCATGCTTGCAAGCCAGAAGAAAGCTCTGGGGGGAAAAAGACGAAAAACTAAGTTTAGCGTTTCATGTTAATCACCGATGAGTGGCGTGCAATGCACACACACACGCGTGCAATGTACACACACACGCGTGCAATGTACACACACACGCGTGTAATGCACACACACACACACAAACCAAAGAAGAAAAAAACCCAAAGACAACCGACATATTTATTTACTAAAAAAAAAAAAACTACAAAAGAAGACGACGACAGCAAAAAAACACACGCGTGCAATGTACACACACACGCGTGTAATGCAAACACACACACACAAACCAAAGAAGAAAAAAACCCAAAGACAACCGACATATTTATTTACTAAAAAAAAAAAAGTATCAAAGAAGGCGACGTTAGCAAAAAAAGATAGTCACATCAGATGTAGTGCGCACACATTCGAATCTCACAAACTAAGCAGCAAGGTTCGCGAGGTTTGTGAAAATGACGTTTGGCTTTTAAGATCAGACGACGGTGGGGAGACGGATTTACACCAGGTGGAGACTCGCGCATGGAGGCGGAAAGCCATGGATCGCTCCCAATGGAAGAAGGATGTGGTGGAGCAGGCCAGGGCTGTAGCACCACCGATGATGATGATTTTAAGATCAGACCTCATCGATGTTTGGTTTGGAAATGCTGCATCCGATCAAGAGATCCGTTTTCAACTGTTCATCAGTCACTGTCGTCCGATGTGATTTTTAATGTCCCCCGTATTTTTCCAAATATTTTTTTTTCTTTTTTTTTTTTTTTAAATTATCTTTTCCTTTTTAAAAAAAAAAATGAGGTCACTTAGTTGGTTTTTAAATGATGTCATCATTCTCATTTAAATACATTTAGTTTCGGAATGTCTCTGAGTTTCAACCACGTTAAATTTCATCAGTAACTATGTTAACCAGTGATAGACTGTGATAATGTGATTTATACGACCACTCAATATAAATTTATATCTATAGGAAAAATGCGCCTGCTCTCCAAATAAAGACCGAACATTACAATATAAACGTCGGTCATCTACTTTTAGAGCTTTATTATTTTTTTTTACGCCAGCTTAACCACATCCTTCCCACTAGGCACTGCAATCCGAGGAGTTATGGTATTCATTACATATGCTGTATGTTTATTTTTGTTTTATTTAGATACCGGGGTACCGTAATTGTACGATTTTTAGACAATATTGTACAATTTTTAGGCGTTCGAGGGTAAACAGGTCTGCAATAAACAAGAAAATCAAGAAACAACTATTTAAAATTAAAAATGGTAAATTTAAGGTGCATAGCAGCCAGGAGGTCTCCGCACGTGTGAAAATCTCCTAGTATTCTAAACGTAATATTTACATTTAAATTGTATCACAACTCTCGTGTTCCTTATGGTTTTAAAAGAACATTCAAATGCCATCGGCGGGCCGGATGTACTGACGTCGCCGGCCGGATCCGGCCCGCGGGCCGTAGTTTGGTGACCCCTGGTTAATAGATCCATATAGCCATGAAATCATATTGGTATCAGCTTTAACTGATTCAGATAGCCATGGATTGATAACGGCATTGGTTAAACTGATCCAGATAGCCATGAATTCATAGCAGCCTAAGTGTCAAAGAGAATGACGTTTTTTGTGTGTTTTTTTGACGTTACACACTCCACATACATCACCGCCCCACCCAACCAATTCCATTTTTTCTTAATCAAATTGAAACCCTAAGACCCAATCAAGACAAAAGGGGAAAAAAAATGAAGCGCCAACTTTAAACAATTTGAAATGTGTTTCCTAATAGTGTTCTGATTTTTTCTTACCTAGATGCGATTGCTTTGCTTGAAAAGGAAACCAGCAAGTTCAAATCCAAGGCACCAATGGATGAGAGAATTATATTCTCATTTTTTTTTTTCAAACAATTAAAACAAGTTTTGAACATCAGCAGCATCTTGTTCTGTGTTGTTTGTTCATTTCTGGATTTTACATTTTTTGTTCATGTCCAGATTGCCCCTTGTTGTTCATGTCCAGATTGCCCCTTGTTGTTCATGTCCAGATTGCAACTTGTTCATGTCCAGATTGCCCCTTGTTGTTCATGTCCAGATTGCAACTTTTTCATGTCCAGATTGCACCTTGCTCGTTCATGTCCAGATTGGACCCTGTTTGTCGATGTCCATCTTGCACCCTATTTATTCATGTCTAGATTGCACCTTGTTTATCCATGTCCAAATTGCAACTTGTTTATTCATGTCCAAAGTGCACCTTGTTTGTTCATGTTCAGATTGCATGACATTGTCCATGTCAAGATTTTATCTGTTTTGTTCATTTTCAGATTTCATGATATTTGTCAATGTCTAGATTGCACGTTTTTTGTGTGTGTGTGTCGATGGTTAGATTGTAAAAACTAAACTTTTTTAACGAGAGAACACTGCCAAGTGAACAAAATGGCGATACATGATATAACAGTTGCCAAAAGTGGGTACCTCTTTTTAATTGTGCCCAATGGAGTGGTACATGATCCTTATCCTTTTCGAAACCACATTTAACACGTAGCATACTTCATGAATTTATTTCCTCATTTATTTGTATTGTAAAAATAAAAAAAAGAGATTTATTAATTTTTTTTTTCAAAAGGACAGCAAATGACCGGCCACTGAAATGTGGAAGCGCCATAAATTGCCAACAACCCCTAGAAATACACGTTTTCGAAAAGATACTTTGTAAAATAAAATATCGAACAATGGCGGATGGGGCTGAAAATTTAACAAAGCATTCATTCAAGTGGCGCTCTTTATAAGAACCCCAATTAGTGCTTCCCCCCCCCCCACCCACCCACACCAACACCACAAGGCTTGCGACCCTACACTTTTTTTCGCTTCCTAAACTATGTTGATATTTTAATGACCTACCAGCTTTTACACCGCAGATTCATTTCACCAATCATTTCGGAAGAACAAAAGAGAATATTTTGCACCGAACGCACTAGCGATAATTATTTTTTAAAAGAATCTCATTTAGCGCAGTTGTCGGGAATTTTATTTTATCTTCCCCTTAAAAAACAGGAAAATCGAATTTTTGGGGTTTGGGGGCTGGAAAATTTGGTAAAATGTGTTGTCAACGGCATCGCGTTTATGTACCAAGTTTCAGCTCGATAGCTTGGCGGTGAAGTGGGTCAATTAGACGTCCGAAGATTTTGCCCTAAACGCACACAAGTGAAGGTAATATAAAGGATTTAGTTTTCAAAAGCATATATTCACTGACTTCATTGTCTCCATTGGTAAGAATTGCAATCTAAAGCACCTCGATACTGAGTTTGAAATGCTGATAGTTTCCTGTGCAATGATAATTTATGTTGATCACTAGTCATGGACAAATTTAATGAAAGGGTTTAAGTTAATGCAATAAAGTAACCGATAAAAGCATTGATTGAATGATTGGCTGAATACTTATATACCGCTTGAATTCATGCTAATTTAGCTTGTTCACAGAGTCTGATGTTTTTTGAATCTGTTTACAGAAAAAAAAATTCTTTAAATGTTTCCTATATGCTTTTTAAAAAAAAATTCATTTTCAATTTCCCTCAAAGATTGAGGCAAACTGATCCATAATTTTGCGCTATTGCTTCAAAGAGCTCACTGCGTAAGACTTTTTTCTGTGTCCACCCACGCTGGGAACTCTCAGTAGGGACTGTGTTGGGGACCGCAGGTTCTTTAAGGATACGTGTCTAGAAATCAGTTCTTTAAGATATTCCGCTGCATAGCCTTTTGTGTAAAATAAATGCAGACGTAAGTGAGAAAAGACAGTGTTCAAGTACAGTGTGGTCAGAGGTAAGGAGAGCGGCTCAATGAGACGCACAGTTTGGTCAGAGGTAAGAGAGAAGAGATCGATCTTTACGACGTGTCTAACGATCACGCTGAATTTAACGACGTGTCGTAGGAAAAAAAAAGGAATCAATAAAAGTGAACGGTGACCCGGTCACGTGATACGCCATAAAAAAACAAAAAAATCGACACTTTCGAGAAGCTTCTTTTAATAGGCATTCATCTCACGTTAACCGTTACAGATCAATATTTATAGAAAATTTAAATGACAAAATCCTTTTATGGACAAGTCAGTATTAGTTGATGTTTTTTTTTGTTTTTTATAATTGCACTGAAGAAGTGTAAAGTATTTTGAAAGTTGATCTGGGATTGATATCGCTTAATCTTTAATTTGCAGAACAATATTTAGTACTTCAATGGATGAGTTCACTGTTATACAGATTGCGCTTCAACTCATAGTTACATAGATTGAGCTTCAACTCACAGTTATAAAGAGTGTAGTCCAACTCATAGTTATATAGAGGGAGCTCCAACTCATAACTATGACGTCATCTAAATATAATTTTAAGAATGTTTTTAAAATTAAATACATAATTAATTCATGAGACTGAATTTTAAAAAAAAATAATAATTTGGTGTTCTTTTGCACACCATTAAAAAGGGGGGGGGGTTATACAGATAGGGACATTGAACATAAGCAAGACATCCTCGCCACTGACACACACCTTTGCCACCCAAGGAATAAAAGAGATACAAGTAAAAGTACACGTGAAATGGACTAAACGGAACCAGCCAAACATCATAGAAGGAGGGCACACATCGTGTTGGCGCGGCAGTAGTGTTTAAGTGGTGTTAGGGGTAGGTGACGAACACAATGAATGGCCCGCTTGTAGTCGGAAGTACCAATCAATGTTTTGTGTTAACAATTTTATTTTTTTTTAATTTTGAAAATTTATAACCATTTCGTCAATCAGTTTTATTAAGCGTTAACTTGTCACCATGTGAGAACCCCCGGTACTTTTTATGTCTTTTAAGTGTCGGATGGCCAAGTTGGACATTATAAATGTCCAGGTAAAGCTCCCAGTTCATGAGACAGCGCTGGACAATACATCCAATATGTACTTCTACTTGATGGTAAGTCATATCAAATGTTCATCTGCTATGTTTTATTTTACTTGACGGTGTGATGAAATGTTGTTAATTTGTAATGATTTTTTTTTTGTGTGTAATGCCATGTAAATCTACATAACTCATTTCTTGCAGCTGCTGGGCTCTGGGTGTGCCCTGATTGCAACTGTGGCAGGGGAACAGTGCCATGCAATCGTTCCTACAAATGGATACCACGATATCATATTCCCAGAGGAGTAAGTACAGCTGGTTCCGAGCCCCAGAAAATTAACAAAATGATTCATCCACAAAAATTGACGAGAAAAAATAAAAGGAAATGGATTATTTTTTTTTCATCCTGTGATCACAGATCATTTTATAAAATGTGTTTTTATATTTATAAAATAAAAGATCACTTTATACAGTAATTTATTTTCTGATAAAAGATCACAGTTCAAAGATTATAAACATCATTTACATGTCTGATTAATTAAAGAAAAAAACAAACTCTGCTTGTCACTAACAATGAACCCCTACCCCTCACACACACACCCTTTTTAACAACACACAAACACAATGTCTCAATGTTTTTCTACCGTATAGCAAAATCAAGTGTGGAAAAGAAGACGGAGATGTATTTGTGAAGCCAGCGTACTGTGACACCAAATTTCCAACCGTTCAGTAAGTAAACTCTGTTCTTTGTGATATCTTCATTTGTCCTGTGTGCTGAAGAAGGCTTTATGCCGAAACGTCCTTATCTTTTTGTCCTGTTCTCCTATTCAAGCTTCTACATACCTCGTTTTGCCATTCCATTTACAAGGCTTCATTGCAGTATATAATTATTATAGTTCAATAAGTACCAGCTTACCGTGAGACACAATTCCCATCCGTTCAGTAAGTACCAGCGTACCGTGAGACCTAATTCCCATCAGTTCAGTAAGTGCCAGCATACTATGAGGCACAACTGCCCCTCACTCACTGAGTGTACTGTGAGAATACATTTACACAGTAAGAATCAGAGTACTCAGAGAGAGAACATTACTACACGCTCAGCAAGTACCAGCTGACTGTGTGCCAGCATGAACACTTTCAGCAAGTAACAGAACAGTTTATTTGAAAACTTGAGAGGGAAAAAAACAAACAAGGCAACACTCAAAAGAGTATCTCTGCTATCAATCTTTGTCAGCAGACAATAAACAAGACGTTGCTCGGAATAGATGAACAATTACAGATGAAATGAGTAAAACAGAGTAGGGTTAAACCTGAAAAAATAAACGCAACAAAACAGCGAACGTGTCGGCAGAAAGCCTTCGTCAGCGAACAAAACAACAGAAAAAAACGGTATAAAAATAAAAATAAAAATAAGGAATAGCACTTAGCTGGTAAGTAATTATCTGTGGGCAGCAATAGAAGTGTGCCAGTGATGGTTGGCCATGTGGGTCGGGAGGGGGGGGAGGGGTAGAGAGAGACATTTTCTGACGTTTTTTATTTCAATTCTACAAGCTTAGGGTGGAAGCTGCTGTGGAAATACTTACAGATACTTACAAATACTTGAGACGTTACGGCTGTCTATAGGCGTACACTTAAAGGCAGGTTCTCAGAGAGATTTAAGTCACATTACGTGTACACACCACTACCAAAAATTTTAAGAGAAATGTTTACAGAACAATTTCTTTAGAACAAAAATAGACACATTTTTTTAAAGAAGTTTTTTTAAGGCCTTTGTATTATATGTATTAACTAATGACGTCACATGACAACGTTAAGTTTATCAAAGAGTAAAATAGTACTGGCAAAAGGGAGTTAAAAAATTAACGGATGAACTGTTTCTCATATTGATTATGTGATCAACGTTCATCAATTTTCATTTTTTTATTTTTTTTTTTATTTGTCGAGATGATCAAAATGACCTTTTTTATATTACATTTTGATAGTAGACTTTAAGTGGATGGATGGATGATGGATGGATGGATGGGTGGATGGGTGGATGGGTGGATGGATGGGTGGATGGGTGGGTG